GCATCAGACAACTGAGTTCTTCTCCCAGTTTAGCCACTGCATGAGTCAAATGCTCACACATGCAAAGCTGCTCCCTTTGAATACACTTGGCTCCTTGGGAACAGGAGACAACCTGCAGGATGGCAGTGATTGGCTTGTAGATTCTTTTCAACGTTGCTAATTTCTGAGGCTGCAGAATCCAAGAGGACTGGCTGCTCCTTAGAGGAGCTCACATGTACAGCATGCTAGATGAGAACTGAAGGCTAAGACTGTTACAAAAGAAAGGGGCGATGGCAGAGGAGCGAGTGGAAGGGAGAGGGCATCCCAGGCAGAGGGTGAGACGAGGAGCAGCCACAATGGCAGAAAGGGAGGGAATGGTGTAACAGCAGGAGCCAGCAATCCACGTGGAAGGTTTGAAGCTTTATCAGAAAGGCTTTGGAGAGCCACTGAAGGGGAAATGATAGAATAAGATTAAGATTTAGTGAGATTTTCCCAGGAAGCAGTGGAGACCAGTAAAGGCACGGAGACCAGTCAGGTTGCAATTAAGCAATCATGGGGCAAAATGGTATGAGCCGGCCAAACTGGTGGCAGTGAGGAGAATGGGAAGGGAAGGGGTTCAAAGGTTATTAAGATAGGCAGAGTTATCCAATAATGGAAACTGGTGATGGAGGATGAAAGAGGAACAGGGAAGAGGAGTCCTAGAACGACTGTCAGGGTTCTGGTTGGGCAACATGGTGGATGCAGGTAGCACTTCCTTAGGAAGAAATAGGGGGTGGGGACATGGGGCTGAGGAGCCTTTCGCAACTCAAGTTCCACTAGAGAAGTAAGCCCTAATGCCCCAAGGCCTCTCCTGTCTGGAGTGAATTAACGTCTCTCCCCTGCACCTAGAATGGTACTAGTCGTGCACCTCAGTTCTCCCTGGGAGAACTGAGAAAATAGGCACTCGAGTCATTTTCTGCATTCTGTGGTTCAGATGAAGAACCCCTGGGAGAAAGTTTTAGATAATGTGGGTCTTCTTATCTAAGGCCATGGGAACGGATGAAATTGCCCCGAGAAAGTGTATAAAACTGAATCAGGGGGCTGGCCCCGTGGCCGAGTGGTTAAGTTCGCACGCTCCGCTGCAGGCGGCCCAGTGTTTCGTTGGTTCGAATCCTGGGCACAGACATGGCACCGCTCATCAAACCACGCTGAGGCAGCGTCCCATATGCCACAACTAGAAGGACCCACAACGAAGAATATACCACTATGTACCAGGGGGCTTTGGGGAGAAAAAGGAAAAAATAAAATCTTTAAAAAAAAACAAAAACAAAAACAAAACTGAATCAGTATAAATGAGAGTCAAGGATGAAGAGCCTAAGAAAGAGAATCTAGAGACACAGTGGAAAAACCAGGAGACAGTGACACCTTACGTTATCATGGAAGCCAAGGCGAAGATGATTTCAGAAAGGGGGGGGGGGGGCATCAAGCTGTTTCCCAAAGTGTGGTTACTGTGCCACTGCGATGATGCTAGAGGTGATTCTTGGGTATATATGGGCAAACCTTTCTAATTTTAATATTTATGAATTTATATTTATTGCGTTAATACAGCATTTATGTAGTAATATAAACAACCATAGCTAACAGTTATTATTTCTTGACAGTTATTATGTACCAGGCATCATTCTAAGAGCTTTATATGTATGAATATTATTAGTGAATCCTTACCACAACTCCACAAGATAGATAATATTGTTACCCGCCCTTTAAAGACGAAGAAATTTAGGCACAGAGAGGTCAAATAACTTGCCCAATGTCAAACTAGTAAGAAGCAGAGCTGGAATTTGAACCCAAGTGATTTCACTCCAGGAACCCCGCTTAAAAAAAAAGTACTTATTTCTTGCTTTAAAATAAATTCAAGTAAAAAAATGAATTAGGGGCTGGTTCCATGGCCGAGTGGTTAAGTTCGCGCACTCTGCTGCAGCGGCCCAGGGTTCGGATCCTGGGCGCGGACATGGCACCGCTCATCAGGCCACATTGAGGCGGCATCCCACATCCCACAACTAGAAGGAGCTGCAACTAAGATATACAACTGTGTACAGGGGGGGTTTGGGGAGATAAAGCAGAAAAAAAAAAAAAGATTGGCAACAGTTGTTAGCCCAGGTGCCAATCCTTAAAAAAAAAAAAGAATTAATTTAAAGAAAATAGCAAATAAATAATAGGACAAATGGACTCAGCTATCACAAAAATTGTGAAGGAGGCACATGAATGAATGGCTCTTGGCAAAGTGCCCTGGCTGGATGGTTACACTGAGAAAAAATGAGAGAGCAAGAGAAATACATGACAGGGGACTATACATAGGCTACACATCTGGATCATACTGTTCCCTGCCTGGGGAAGGTCAAATTGCATCCTTTCAATTCTGGGCCATTATCCTAGGGACAGACATAACAAAAGCCACAAACACATAGAGTATTAACTATTCATTGTCAAAAATGTATTTGTTATTGGTGGCGGTTAGGTTCTTTAAGAATGTCCTAAAAGATCCACTGGGTTCTTTAAATTTGGCCAAACTCTTAGACATTATTGCCGTAGTTAAGTGTATTAGAAATGTGCTAAATTACCTCCTTGATTGCATTTTCAACATTTCAACAGCTGAGTACATTGTAAATACTCCAGCAGGAATTTTTATTTCTCATCCTTATTTCTTTGGGATCCCAGGAGAAATACAAGAATCTTGTTTATTGCTGAAATATATCTTGTTTAATGTCTTTCATGTCTGTCCCTGGTGTCTTACCAGCAAAAACGGTAGTGAAAATTCTCCAAAGCAGAGGAAGAAACAAAACAGGAAAACTGAAAGGACGACAAGGAAAAGAAATGCACCGGGGGAGGAAAACACACACAGCTTCTGGGGCTCCAGGCCGTAATCTAGGCGAGGGCAAGAAAGAGCAGGATGGAACACAGTGAAATAAGCCAGAAGGCATCGGTCATGAGACTCCCTCAGGGACTGGGAAATAACGTCTTGACACCTCAGCGAGAGTGGGCACGCACCAGGCCACTGATGCATCTACGCTCTGCATCGCATCCTTTGCTAGTCCTCGCATGGAGGTTCTCTCTTTCTTTCAAAGTTTCAGTAGCATATAGTTTCCATAGCAACTCCAACAGGCGTGTTTATCCTCAAGGCCATGAGCTACCCCAGGCCCTTGGACCTCCTGGCTCAGAGCACCAGTCTCCATAGTACTTTCAGCATGACTGGATCGCATCTCAATCTGTATGTCATAACTACAGCTCTCTTAAGGCTGCCGGAATCAGCCCCCAAGATTTACACAGATCTACTTTCTGCATTAAAGGGAAAGAACAAAATATGTTCCCATCTGGTAGGTACAAACAAATTCATGTTAATAATCCAAATTTCACTGGTTCTTGCCATGACTGCTCCAACCCAGCTTCCACACCTAAAAATCTATCTCGGGTATTAGCTGGAGGGTCTCATCTGTGTTTGTCAGCATCATTATCCCATCTCTCCTCAGGACCTTCCTTTCAGCTTGAAGATTCTCTGATTCTATGAGACTGGCAAGGAGGGTTGTGGAATCTCTAGTACAGGAGATTTGTGTGTGTGTGTGTGTTTATTTTAAACTCTGCCTTATAGAAAATTTCAAACATATACAAAAAACAGGGAAGAGTATAATGAACTCTCATGTACCCATCAATTTGCTTTAACAATGATCTCCTCAAGGCCAATTTGTATATCACCTCCACCTCCACTGTCTCTACCCCTCTGGATTATTTTGAAGCAAAGCCTTAAATATTTTAGAATATATCTCAAAAAGACAACTCTTTTTAGGGGCTGGCCTCGTGGCATAGTGGTTAAGTTTGAACACTCAACTTTGGCGGCCAGGGGTCTGCAGGTTCGGATCCTGGGCACGGACCTAGCACTGCTTGTCAAGCCATGCTGTGGTGGCATCCCACATGAAATAGAGGAAGATTGGCACAGATGTTAGCTCAGCAAAAGTCTTCCTCAAGCGAAAAGAGGAGGATTAGCAACAACTGTTAGCTCAGGGCCAATCTTCCTCACACATACACAAAAGAACTCTTTTTAAAAAATCTGGTGCAGGAGTCTTTAAACCTGGGTTTATGTATGTAAAATGTTGCATGCACATATGCATCTTCCTAAGAAAATGGTCTGTAGCTTTCATTGACTTTCTTTTTTTTTTGAGGATGATTAGCCCTGAGCTAACTACTGCCAATCCTCTTTTTGCTGAGGAAGACTGGCCCCGAGCTAACATCCACGCCCATCTTCCTCTACTTTATATGTGGGACGCCTACCACAGCATGGCTTTTTGCCAAGTGGTGCCATGTCCACACCCAGGATCTGAACCAGCGAACCCTGGGCCGCCAAGAAGCAGAATGTGCACACTTAACCACTGTGCCATCGGGCTGGCCCCTTATTGACTTTTTAAACTGGTTTAGGAGTCTAAAATTTTAAAATTATTGCTCTAAGTAGAACAATGAGAAGAGAGTCAATTTGCCTGAGGGTCAATTATTGTCAATGAAACACCTCATCTTTTCACCATTACCACCATTATACTCATTCGGATGTATTTTTCAGAAACTTGTCTCTCAGGAATGATTTTAGCTGTTGTATATACAGAGCAGTAAATTTCTACTTTAAAAGTTTTTAGGATTAAATGTACTCACCCAAAACCATAAATAATCATTTAAAGAGCAGAAAAATACCAATGAGAGGCATGTATACAATGGTCAATACCTAATCAGCATGAGAGCTTTCCAATGGACTCAACCCAGTGGAGAAATCCATCAAAGAACCAGAGGGAGAGTCAGTCAGAGCAACTATTTCTTCGGAGCATTAGCTTGGAAGCATAGAATATGCATACAGAACTGTTCAAAATGTCTAACGTTGCAAAATACAGAGGAAAACATTACTTCCAGGAATGTGATACTAAAATAAAAAACATTCAGAAACCATACATACTGCTGATTAAGTTAAAATAACTAAGTTATTTTAATAAAACAGACATAAAATATACATTAACATTTTTTTATTTTCAAAAATCGGGGTTAAACAGTCAAGCTGCATATACATAAACCAAACCAAACACCAAGTTTAAAAAAAAACCCCGGAATCTTGCAAATTGTTAACAGACTCTACTAGACTATCAACTAGAGGGCTGGGCTAGACACTCTGTGACAAAAAATAGATGCTACACGCGCTGCCCCACTCGTGCTCCCACATGCTCTTACACGTGTGCACATGGGCAGCATCGGTGAGGAAGAAAGAAGAAGTTGAAAACGGCCCAATAAAATCATTCAAGTTACCGACCATTTCCTCTGTCATTCAGAATGATGTTTCCAGTGTTAAGGAATGATGAATATCCTCCTCTACATTAAAAAAAAAAAAAAAAAAAATCCAGAACAGTGAAAACATTACGACACAGTTTTGTTGCTATCATTTGGAACATTCGGTCACATGGAAAATATTAAAATTTTAAATAAAAGCATTGTATTTCTTATCTAAGTAGTTAAAGTGAACAGACTTTTGTCAGTCGCAGCCAAGCAAGAGGAGACCCCGGGAGAGGTGGTACTTGGAAGCTGTCCCGGAGAGACCCCTCCATCTGGAAGAGGTTCGCTGTGCTTCTGAATGAAAAACTAAGCAACCACAAAGCGACCCACCAACCATTCTAGCGCTAAATTTAAAGCAGCCATGCTGGGGGTGTTGAAAATTTGGACTTTAAATTGGCAAGACAACTTAGGGCACAGATAAAACCTTTACACTGCCGGGAAGGAACTGAGCATTAAGGCCGATGCTACTCTGCATTCCTGGGTGTTTTCAAGTCCTTCCAGCGCAAGCAAATGAGAAGCAAAACCACCCAGCTTTAGTCCTAACACGGACATGGTGGACTCCGGAAGCAATTGTTTTTTTGTTTCCTTAACTGCTTTACTCACTTACTATCTGAATTTAAACACAGTTGCATAAAACTTCAAGTGCAGCTAAGAAAGCACCTCACTGCCCCAGACCAGCTTCCCGCTGTTGAAACCCAACTTTTCTTGCATTTGTATTCTAAAGTAAAGTTCCTTTTTCCTGATCTCTTTTTTAAAACGCAGATATATATCCTGCAATCTCCTAATCTTGCAGCTGAGCTGAGAAGCACAAGAGATGGCCTCAGCAAGTTCTAGTCCAGGAGGTCAGACCCCAAAGCAAAGGTGGGGACGCCTGGCCTTCTCTCACTTGGAAGCAAGGAACTCTCCCAGGCTAGTGTTTTAAATGGTAGTGGGGAAAACCGAGAGCAATTTAAATTTAATTTATAAAAGATGTATCTGAATCTTCTATCTATACTATAATGATCAGGCATTACTTCAGTAATAAAAATGAAGAAACACGATGCTGCGATATGGCAGTTATTTTCAGAGACATTTTCTTGTATTAGTTTTGCTCCTTCCTGTAAGGACCTTGGGCACTTTCAGATTTGTGGCTTCTAGCTATATTATCTATTAAAAAGGATACATTTCCTCCTCGTGGGTAATGATCTGATGTTTAATACCCCAGAGTCCCTTGAAATTATGATATGGAGGAAAAACTGTTTTGGTTTTTTTTTTTTTAAAGATTGGCACCTGAGCTAACAGCTGTTGCCAGTCTGCTTCATTTTTTTCCCTCCTTCTCCCCAAAGCCCCCCACTAGTACACAGTTGAATACTCTAGGTGTAGGTCCTTTTACCTGTGCTTCATTTATTTTTTTCCTTAAAATTGCAGGGTTTTTTAACCGAGCTTTGTAGGTTGCAGTACAGTTTCCCTTTAAAGGAATAACACATAGATGGTTTATTTCCTGAATGCATGTCATAACTAAAAATATTTTCTGTATCTTAACATATAAACTATGTATCAAATTCCAAAATCACAACTTTCCCCCCCCCAAATTCCCTATTGTTTCCTGGCATTTGGTGCTATAGAGTAGAAGTCTGAAGCCAGAATGCTCTTGTTTTCGAAAAGGAAACTGGTTACTTTCTGACTGGACTGCCCGCAGGATTCTTCCTTCTCCATCCTTGGTAAATTAACAATTTTGCCAGGTGCTTATGTGTGGGTCTCTCTCGCCTTTTTTTTGACTGGAATGCAGTGAGCCCTTTTAATCTACATACACAGATTTTCATTCTGTTCAGGAAAGCTTTCATTTTATAGTCTGATGACCTTTTTTCTCATATAGTCTTTCCAGCAGAAAAGCAAATGTCAGTAATGTTAGCTAATGTTCTGTCTTCCAAATCCATTATCTTTCCCCATTATTTTCATCTCTTATTTCTTTTGAAAGAACATTAGGAAGAAAATCTCAAGTCTGTCCTTCACATTATTGATTTGTGTTTTTTTAAGCATCAGTATTCTTTTCTGCTTCCAGTGCGGATTTTGATCTGCTATTGTGTTTTTCGCTTCCTGGAAATCCTTCTTTCTAATCTTCTCCTTCATTTTCTTCAATTGCCTTTCTCTCTGAGCCCATTCCCATGTTAAGATAACCCACTATGGCTGCATAGAAGTAATTCTTCCGTTCTTTCAATTGTGACAGAGAATCCTAAAATTTTCTTGTTTCTTGCAGTAGAACACTTTCATTTTCAAGTGTTCTGGAAGCTATTCACTTTCCTTGGTTCAGCATTTTATACGCCTTCTTTCGCTTTCTACTCTATACTCATCCTTAAATGTGATCCTTTCTTTCCAGACTCAGTGTTTGCCCTTGGTTACGCTATCTGTCCCCTTGAGTGTGGTCAAACCCCTTTTGTGGATGTGCAGGTGTGACGGTAAGGAAATGCACCTACTTCCACGTCCAGTTTCTAGTTAAACACTTTTCCATTGAAGGGGCATCCTTTTCCTTCCCATCGCCTGGTCTTCTGGATCTCGGCACCAACACTGTACATGAAAACATCAAAATATTTGCACTTTCTGCTACCTAGTTATTTACTGTTGCTGCCCTCACTTAAAGGGCATTTTTCTCAGAACGCACGATGCCTCTAATAGATCCTCTCTGCTTTCTGCTGTGTTTTAGCCCTAGGATTTGGAGTCTTGGACGGCATGAAGAGGAGGTGGGGTGGGGAGAAGGAAGAGAGAAATGTTTCACTTCACGGTGTGGCACCTGGTTGAGAGGCAGGATCTGCCGGCTACCTCTCTGGCTCTGAGTTAGGAGACAGACATGGTTGGGGAGAAGAAATATTAAATCTCTTTCAAATTTTTTATTTCACAGGGCCTCTCTTTCATGAAGTGAAGCCGAGAAAACACTGAGCTGCAACCTGGAAGGTTTTGCCTCAATCCATCTCCATATGCCTCACAAATTGTATCGATTCCTTCTAGATTCTAGAATTGAGATGTGGCCTTCAACTGGGTCTTTATGAGTGTGTTTTCTGTGAAGGCAGGAGTTCATCAGGGGCTTCTGCTAGCCAGATGTTGTTCTGCAGATGCAGTTCCATTAATTAATTTTTAAAAATCCAAATCTTCCCAGCTGTGATATGGAGGAAAGTGCTCTGGACTAATTTTCCAGTCCTGAATCTACTACTGATAGTCTGGCTGCCCGTAGTATCTCTGGGCTTCAATTTCCTTACTGGTAAAATGAGGGAATATGACTGGTCTATCTCAGAGTTACCCATAACCTATTGTTTTTTGTCTCAAAACAGAAAATAAACATGCCCTGATAAAGGACAGCACGCGAAACAAATGACTAAATAAGCCTAAAGATTTAAAAATCCTCTGACACCAAAATTTAAAAGCAAAAGTAAAAAAACCTCAGCATGTACTTGTGACATAGGTTGGGAAGTCCTTTACCTTTTGAGCAATGATACCAATGTCAAAACAGGTAGAGTTTATAAAGTAACTGACTTTTTATTAGAATCAAGTGGCATGACCATCTGCCCCTTAAGATAGATAATAGGTAATATAGGTTATTTGTTAGATAAAGACAGAAGGTTCTCAATTGACAGAAAACGTTATACTCATTCACGGAAAACCAGCAGGCTTTCCAGGAACTACTAAATTATACCAAGTGGCCCATCAATTCGTAGGCCAGTACATATACGGTATAACACAGTACGGCTTAGGAAATGAAATCTTTCCCAAACAAATAGAAACTGCTTAATTTTTTAAAAGCTCTGTGATAAATGGACCTCCGTGGGCCTGAAGAAGGAAGTTTGGTCTAATGGATCGTGCGCTGGATTTGGAGTCAGAAGACCAGGGTCCTCCAACCTATTAGCTCTGTGAGACTTTGGGAAGTTTACTTAACTTCTCTGAGCCTTGGTTTCTCAAGAAGTAAAATGGGAATAATTAGACCTATCTTGCAGAGCTGCTGTGAGAATTAAATGAGGACATGAGGCAGCTGTAAGAAAGCGCTTACCATAGTCAGCGTTAGGCAAATCTGAACCTTCTAGAAACTTTTACTTGAACAAATCAGTAACACTAACTACAGTTAAATGCAAATTAATCAAATTAGTTATACTGACCTAAAGTATCTAGGAGCCCATTCTCATCTCAATGGGGGAGAGGGCTCTAAAGCACCTACATATAACCTAGTGATTTTTTATCTTAATAAATTAATATTTCCTGAAATGATTAATTTCCCTATGAGCTGCATTAGATGAATAATAAAGCACTTTAGTTGAACATAATTTAATTCTGGTCAACAACTGAACATGGAGAACTCGTCTGGATTTCCTGGACCGTAAAGAATGGAAGTACTCAAAATCATAATAATAGGTGAAATTGGCTGGAAGGAGGGGCCGCTTCCCTCAAAGGCATTGTGGGAAATCCTGTGATGTCAGAACACACGGATATAGAATACACAGGAATTTCCAGAGATGACTTAGTTTATCATCCCACACGGCCTCTTCTTCTCTCAGAAAGCCTGGCCTGAGGTCACCATGAATCTCTGCCTCCAGTTATGTTTTGGTGGTAGTTAATAATTTATATGGGAAAATACAACAAAGTTTTTACCTAAGAAAACTGCCAAAACAACTGTTACGGTTTTCTTTTAATTCAGAGCATTAAAAATTCACCCCTTGGGGCCAGCCTGGTGGCATAATGGTTAAGTTTGCCCGCTCTGCTTCAGCGGCCTAGGTTGCTGGATTCGGATCCTGATTGTGGACATACACGCAGCTCATCAAGCCAAGCTGTGGTCGTGTCCCACATAGGAAGTAGAGGAAGATGGGCACAGATGTTAGCTCAGCAACAATCTTCCCCAAGCAAAAAGAGGAAGATTGGCAACAAATGTTAGCTCAGGGCCAATTTCCTCACCAAAAAAAAAAAAATTTTACCCCAAAGCAAAAGCATCTAAAGATATCTACCAATTTGAAACTTTTAATGTATTCTTTTGTTCAGGGCTGTCTGTTAACAGCTTCTAAATACGTATGGGCCTTAACAGACTAAATTAGAGCTCGCGGACAAAATGAGGTAACTCTGCACTGAGGTCTGCACTATTTGCATTTTTTGAGCCTAAAGGATAACTGGTGACTAGCTCAAAAATATTTAGCAATCCAGATTTCACTAAAAGCAACAGGATGAATCTTCGATTAGGATAACATTTAATCATTCTGTTTACTTTATTTAACCAGTAACAGTGTGGTCAGTGTTAGCCTAAACTGAGAAAAATATTCAGCATTCTGCTGCCTAGAGATAGCAAAGTAATTTTAGAAGGTGTGAAACTTGAAAATTCAAGAAAAATCTTATTTTTAAAGAAAGCATTCCAGGCAGAAGCACTAAATTAGGAGACTTACCATATGACCCTGAGGCATTATGAAATTTGCTTCCTAGTTTTGCCACTTGCTAACTACGTGACCTTGAGGAGCTAGAGAAGTGTAACGTTGTTCGCTTCGGAGATGCTCCATCCAATGATCCCACTATATCACTGCGGAAAGGGAGAGCACAATTTGCCAAGTGGGCGGTGAAGGGGCTCCCAGTCTAGTCGTCTTTCTACTACAGCAAGAGGCTTCCGCTTCTACGGGAGGGTTACTTTGTGCAGATTCTCCTAACGACTGTCTATGAACATGCTGAGAGAGTGGTATAGTGCTTGATGCTTTTAATAAGGTTAAAATAAAATAAAAATCAAAGTAACAGAATTTCACATTTCTTCAAACACCATTTATCAGTCAGGGCGGATTAACACAGCATTTAATCCCAGGAAAGCTGGAAAATGCCACATGACCAAGGAGACCATTTCTTTCACAACTTTGGTTACGTACTCCAATAATATTTCCCTTTGCCAACACACTAAACAACGAAAAGCTTTCTCCTAAAGCCTCTTACGGCCGCTCTGTTCGTCCTTCACTTGTTTTTGCTCGTATCTGAGGTATCAGGGCTTGGCTGTGTTGGAGGTAGAATTCGTGGGCATTAATGTGACCAGATTATCATGTTTGGTTTCCTCTTCAAGTTTAAAAGTTTAAGGAAGAGAGAATCTCCATAATGGAAGAAGTAAGTGACAGAATGCAGGTTAGTCGAATAATATTAATTAATCCCATCACCAAAAAGTTGTAAGTGAAAGAGCTAACGTTTATTGCATGCCTCCCATGCGCTGCTGCTGTGCTAAAGCTTTTATATTTGATTGAGTCACGTCCTTCAAGCTGACGGCCTATCATCTCTGCCAGGATAAACTTCCAGGGGGAGACTTTCCAGGGTCTGGATTCTGGGGAGGAGGGCACCAAGCAAGCAGGCCTCACTTTAGAGCAGACGCAGAAGGTGCTGTGGGCAGGGCTCACGCAAAGGACTCCACGGGTCACACCTACCATTCCCGACACAGAGCCCGGAGGCAACGTGTGCTCAGAGGAACTCGCGAACTCCTGAGATCCATTCCCATTTTTGAGTAAAAAAAAAATCTGAAGATTAGTGTAGAAAACACTTAACCTCCCCCCCTCCTTCTCTGGGATTCTCCTGTCTCCTGGGTTGGGCCGCCAGCGGGTAGGGTTTAGAGCTGCTGGAAAGACAGAGCAAGTGCCTTAGCCAGGCGCCAACTGGAACTAGCCACTCTGGCCGCCTTTCAGGACCTCTGAGGAGGGTCATGGCCATATGGGAGGATAGGTGCTTTGCCATTTTAGCAGGTTTACTAGGCATTTGAATTTGAATTTTATTTAAGTGTGTGTGCACGCTCACACCTCTACACAAATACATAATAGAAAAAGTGACTAGTACAATGGGTGGCACAGAGTAGCAATCGATAAATTTCTTTTTTTCCTCACTCCCATTCCCCAAGGAGGCATGTAAGGAACTCCATTTAGGATGCTGAGATACAATTCTTTCTTCCATCAGATATCACTGAAGATTCCCCTTTTGATTTTTTATTATACTCATTCACTTCATAACTCTGGGGATTTATAGTACATCAAACAGGCGATAAGCAACAAATGTGAGGCAGAGACGGTTATTCAAATGACGAAAAGCCACCATCAACAGAAAGATTACAACCTCTGGATCAGTTATTGCTACTTTTCAAAATGTTAAAATCTGAAAAGATCCCAGTGATTCCTAAGGGCAATTTCTTCTTGCATCTATTTAAAATAAAAATGGAGGTTTTATTTAATTAGGCTACCGGCTCTGCCCAGAAGTTCACATAGATTATATTTCTGTTTAAGTGCAGAACTGACAAGAAAAATGACCATCTGCTTTCCACAAACAAAATATCCTTTGGGTGTTTAGCAAACTAAAGGAAACTGTATCTAATGTTTTGTGTCTCTTTTTAATCAAAACCCTAAAATCACCATAGGAAACCACAACAGAACAGTATGCAATATCAGGTCATAACATTGATTATTAAATATTACCTGTTGTTTATATATGGATGGAGACAGACCAAATTAATCTATACTCAGCAAAGACCAACTAGTAAACAAAATTATAAATGGGCAATAACTGAAAAGGGAACACCATTAAACCTTAAGGCAGCATTGGTTGAGTCTTCTCTGGGAAAGGAAGTATCACATATTTCAATGATCAGTGAATGATTTTTAAAAACAACTGATTAAACTAAACACTAAAATACTGTTTTGAAAAAAAATAGGACTGATTTTAAGACTCCTGCAAAGTGAATTTGTATTGGAATTTTAATTTTGGATTAGAAAGCACACACAGGAACAAAGTGGTATAAAGTTGTCGCAGTCTTTCTTCAAATACAAAATAAAGATCCCTAGAAATTATTACTATTAATCAGCACTCTTTGGGCTCCTTTTCCACTAACTATTGCATTCAGAGTAGTTATTAGGAAATTCTGCTGCTGTTTCAATAACGTGTGCTCAGGTTGGATTTTATCTGAGTGACACGGTTTCAAAATGCATTAATGACCCGTCACCATGCTCTGAGGGGACAATAAGTCTTTACTGCCGGGTGTGCTTACCTGGTAGGCTGCCAACATCCTCATGTCCCAAGCATTGGTGCCCACCTAAAACGATGACATCTACTATGGCTGAAAAAGCCCTACTTTGATAAAAATATTTCAAAGTTCTTTAATAAACACATTTAGGGGTTTGTTTTCTTTGCACCTTGTTTTGGTTGGATTTTCCTGGTTAAGCCTGAAAATCACCGTTAGTTGTTTGACAGATCCAGTGCTATGTGCTGACAGAACAACCACAGGACACAAAGAACACAGAAAAAACACTCTAAAAAATGTTCAAAGGGAACTAGCTTTCACGTGGTGCTGAGAAATAAAACGTAGGCACTTCTGCTGCAGGAGGTTTTCACATTTTGGTCACAGATCGCTTTTCCAAGCCACTTTCTTTCACTACCGGAAATTCCCTTATGGTACAAACCATCGAGTTCATTGGAAACCTTGTTCTCACCAACACCTTTGGGTGCATTCATCTTTTTTCATAAAATTGTCTCCACTGACGCAGAGATCAAGGTCCTCCCAGTGCTGAGGGCAGCCGGCCAGCTCCCTGCCTCTCCCTCAGCATGAGTGAGCGCAGCTCCACCGTCTTCCATCATGCACGGCTGCTCGCTCTGCAGAACCAAGCTAGCCATCCACAAAATATAAAGAAGTGTCAAGTGCAATTTTTCTCCTTGAACTAGTTCATGTGTCTGCCTCTCTGATTCTAGTTCTTTACTGTGAGTGTAATTCAATGAAGTGTATTAGTCTTTATAACATTCTAAAGCTACTAGGCTACTGGGATTTTTTTAAATGACTACTTAAACAGTTTTCCTTTTTCTTCCCACCATTTTTTTTTTTGAGAAAATCTGTGCTAAAAAGGCACTAGATAAAATGAACTTCCTCACTCTTGCGTATGTAGCAATTATACATTGTATTAGATTCTGTAATTTCACAAAGGTTACACACATTTGGATAAAACATCCTAATTTTTCATACTCTTCTACTTCCAGTTAAAAAACAAACTCAAAGATATAGCAGGTCACACTGACAGAGACCAGCATGACCATGAAGTCCTGGTCATCTCCTGCCTCCTCAGGGCTCCGGCCACGGCCGCCTGAGGGAGCGCTCGCCTATCAGGATGAGCAGGGAGGTGGCCTGGAGCCAGGGAATCACTGGCAGAAGCTGTGGGAGCCAAGCCTCCTAGACACCTGAGTAAACGAGACGAAGGTGAAGTTCTCACAGTTTTCCAGCTTGACCTTCTTGGCTAAGTTTGGGACAATTCCCCGAAGAGACCGCAGTCCCATTCTCTGTTCCTCATACCACACACTGCCCATGTCAGTGGCCTCCTTCCTGGCAGTAAGGTAGAAAGGAGACTTGGCTTCCATTTGGGCGGGCGGCCGGTGGATGTACATGTACTTGTAGAGGAGGCAGTAAGGGCACTGTTTGTGTCCCCTGGAATGCTCATGGTAGATCTTCCCGTGACACACTCTAGTGGAACCACTCCGACTCTCCCGCTTGACACTGTCTGTCCGGGCAAAATAGGGCTGGTTTTGTGGGTCTTTGAGCAGCTCGATGTCACCATACATCAGATCTGCATGCTCCTGCAGCGTCCGCATATTCAGGTATTGGCTGTTGTACTTGACCACAGTGGACAGGAGAGTGATAGGGCTGTCATCCCCTAGACACCCTGTCTGCCACATCTCCTCTTCATCAGAAAGGGAGAAGTAGACAATATTGCGGGAACGGGCACCTGACATCCCTGCCTTACTCAGCACCCACAGCTTCTCCTTGAGCTTCTTGGTGGAAGAATTGAAGGTGCTGCTGGTGATGGAAAAGCCCACGCCTGCATTCTTCAGGATACGGTCCAGACCTCGGCGAATGGCATGGAGCGAGGTGGCCAAGAAGTCTGAGCCGTCACTCTTCTTCACGGTGACGTAAAAGTTCTCGAGCAGCTCGTTCAACTTCACTGCAGGGATCTCAAATGAGACAAACACTGAGGTTACACATTTGAGGACACCCAAACAGCCAGACCCCTCCTTCCTTCTCCTAATCCTCACCAGGGGCTGGACTGTGGCCAAGACATTTTGTGGCCTCTAGAGGGGTGACTCCTTAGCATGCTACAGTAGAAAGGACAGCGAACTTCAAGCTGGATGATCTAGGTTCCATACTTGGCTCTGAGTCTCTTAAAACCTCAGTGTTTCAAGCAGCAAAATGGGACATAATAATCAATATCTTCCCAAAGGATTATTATAACGCTTAAATAAAGGAGTGGATGTGAAAGGATTTGGAAATAGTAATGAACACACATACACATATACACACACACACACACACACACATTATTATTATTATTGGCCTTTGTAACTTTCACCCTTCCTCTCCGGAAAGCTCTTTCTTCTCCTCTAGCAAAGCATTTCCTTCCCTCCCTCCCCTTCAACAAAATTCAACCATCCTCTCTGAAGAATTCCTGAGCTAAACTTAAACTCTGAATCATTCCAACATTAATTTCCTTGATATCTGCACATACTGTTTGGTACTGCTGGTACTAAACATGGTGCTGTAGGAAAGACGACTGACGTGTTCGTTTTGCATAGCAAGTTACTGCGCCTTGATTTTTCACTTGAATTTATCTGAATAGGTCCAGAAAGATCTCTGGCTTAATGATCCATAGGGTTTCAATATCGATATTTGTTCAAAAGAAATGAAAAACTTTAGGATTATATTGACAATTAGAGAGAGCTCTTTATTTGGGCATGGTGGGAAGAAAAGAAGGTTGGCTGGTAAGAAAGCTTTATTTTCAAGCGGGAGCTATCAAGAGAAAACCAGACCTTGCTCATAGTCAATTCAGGCTGAATACATATTCTAGGACAAAAGAAAGTCTCAATAAAAAATGTTTTAAAAGCAGAAACTGTACAGGTAGCATTCGTTCTTCTAATAGCCCTTGGGCCAAAGAAAAAATAAAAACCGGATTATAGATGAAAAGTGAACCAAACAAAATGTTACATATCAAAATGTATGAGATGTTGCTAAATACACTCCAATAGCACCATAGTCTTGAATGACTTTGTTAGGAAATTTCACTGAAAATAAGCAAACACAATTCAACTCAAAAGCTAGAAAAAGTAAACCAAATTCGAAAATAGTAGAGTGAATCGATAAAAATAAAACATAAAATAATGAACTAGAAAAGTTATAAATTGGGATAGATAAAAAATGAAAATATATAATCTTCGAAAAGACCTATAAAGCTGACGAATTTCTAGCAGGTCTGACAGAAAGAGAGAGAAAGAAAAGGAAAGGAAATATATATATTTAAACAATATTAGGAATTAGAAAGACTATAACTACAGAAAATGAATAAAGAATATGAAAAATGTCATATACTTTATGCATATTAATTTGAAAATCTAGATAGCCTGAACAATTTTGTAGCAACATATAAACTGCCAAACTTGGTTCAATGGAGGTAAAAAATCTGAAGAGCCCCAAACAAGGGAGTGAAATGATTGTCAAAGATGTACAGCACTCCCAAAGAGGATGCTGCCCCTGATATCAGTTCATACATGGGGTTAAAAGCAAAAGCACACATCTCCTTTCCCTGCTTCTCTAAGTTACAGTCATAAGCAAATAGCAGTTTTTCAAACCTTTGTATCCCTGAACTGCACAAGGCAAATAGAAGTTACAAATTGTTTAAAAAAAAACCCAGGTGGCCTCACCCTAGGCTCACACTGAAGTTTTGGCTAATTACGGGTTCTTGAGGTTTGTTACAGGAAGACTGACATCCAGAGAATATCAAGAACCTGAAGCTTCCCAGACTCCAACTCCTCAGCTTCCTGGCCCCAGAATCCACCACCCATCACAGAGGCAGACAACCAAGGACACCCACCTGTGGATTCCCTCATCTCGCCATCCCCTTCTCTGCAAGCAGCCTCACAAGGCAAAACACAGGCTGAAGATAAAATCTAACCAGAAAAGTCCAGACCGTCAGGGAAAAAGAAATTCCATCTTAAGGCCAAATGCAGGCTGGTGGAAAGGTGGCAACCAGCAAGTCCACATGCTAAACGTCCCCTACCTAAAACCCCAGCACATGCTCCCCCTCCCCTACCTAAAACCCCAGATAAAATCCCCTACCTTTCTCCCTTCAAGGAGGTGGATCTGAATTCTAACTAACTCCCACCTCCTCGTCCGGCTGCCTTTTGATAATAATAAACCCTTTCCTTGCCATCAGCCTGGTGTTTGTGGCCGGGTAACAATTTTGCAAGCAGCCAGGAAGCTCTTGCTCATGGCTCTGTGGCTCCAGGCTGACTGGGATTTCCTGGGAGGCAGTTCAGCAGCTGCCTAGGTGATTTATCCTAGGGACTGTCCCCAGTACTTTTGACCTGATGCAGCTCTGCTGGCCCTAGGCACATTTTCTTGTGTAAGGAAACAGGCTCTAGATTTGTTTGTTTTTGCTTCTGGTGAGTCAATGGACTCAATGTGGAATAGGGTAAGTCACCTGGGGGATGCCTACGAACTGTCTTGCCCTCCATCTGGGATCATTCCATTTATGGCAGGGCTGTCTGGGGTCCTTCCATTTATGGCAGGGCCATCTGGGGTCCCTTCTGTTCACAGAGGGGCCATCTGGGCACATATTTGGAGTGGGAACAGTTGTAGGACTTTCTACTCTAAATCTGGGAACCAGTTCACTGGTGTCTGGTTTTTCTGTGTCTGATGATCTGTGTGTCTGTCTGTCTTTGTGTATTGGAATGGGGAACATGCCATCTGTCCCCAAGCAGAGCCCACTGGGGCTGATTCTGAGTAGACAGTCTGATTATAGTTATAAGACAATGTCTAAAAAGGATGATTTTGTAATACCACATGGCCACAATATTGTTTAGACTCTGGAGGAAAAAAATGGCCAAACAAAGGATCCTTAAGTTGGAAAAATTTTTAGAGAGCTCCCATCATAAACAGCTGTTTTATTGGTACCTATGAAAAGGCCAAATTAAAGGAAAAATACAATGACTAGTCTTGAGAACTTAAATAAACTTGGGGTCTCAGCTTCTCATGGTCTTACAGATGCTAATGAAAACATTAAGTTAACAAAAGAATAAAAGAAAGTTGAGGAAAAATAAAGGGACTCTTCAACAAGGTGGCAATTTTTAAAGGAGTTTTTAAAACTATGATAATAATAATAGGCAAATAAGACAGTGGGGTAAATAAGACAAATATTAAAGAGGGAGAAACAAAGAAAAGTCAGAAAGGGAAGAGCCACCGGACTCATCCCAACAGGATGGAAATGTTTAGCCAGTTATTAACAATGAAAATGGGATGAATAGAACAGACATGAGTGAAGTTAAAACAGAGGTTCGAATAAAACACTGCCTAAGGTTAGACGGGCTAAAAGGACCCCTAGTGGTCCTCCTCAACATTAAAGGACCTCAGACAAGCCCATTCTATGCACCCCAGTTTGAAAACATTTAAAAAGCCAGAAAGCAGAAATCACAATGAGAAACCTGACCAACAACTGTTTGGGGCAAGAGTTAGGCTGCTGAGGTTGATAAGACTATAAAGATTAAATTTTTTTTTTTTTTTGTGAGGAAGATTAGCCCTGAGCTAACTACTGCCAGTCCTCCTCTTTTTGCTGAGGAAGCCTGGCCCTGAGCCAACATCCATGCCCATCCTCCTCTACTTTACATGTGGGACACCTACCACAGCATGGCTTTTGCCAAGTGGTGCCCTGTCTACACCCGGGATCCAAACTGGTGAACCCCGGGCTGCAGAGAAGTAGAACGTGTGCACTTAACCGTTGTGCCACTGGGCCGGCCCCTAAAGATTAAAATGTTTAAGCTAATACTATATGAAAAAGTTTTCTCAACTTTGACTAAATGTTTTTTGGAAATAGATGTTATGTCTGGCTGGGAATGCTTCCCCATGCAGTACTATAATAATGAAACTTGTTAAGGAAATCCTAATATAAGATGTAATTAGAGGTTTAAGTGTTGACAAAATTAAAATAAAATTTTGTAAAAAGTGGTGTATTTAAATGAGCTTTACATAAAATGATTGCATCTCTTTTTGCCTGATTGTGGGGGTAAATCTGCCCATCAGACAATGTTAATTAAACATACTAAAGGGAAGGCAATAAGGTTGCCTGAGCCCACACCATATGAGACAAAACTAGAGACTAATATCAGACACTAAAATGGTAATAAAGGCTTCTCCACACACAAGGTAAATTGGTCTAAGGTTAAACTGTACATTTAGAAAGAGGGCCTTTGTTAAATGCTTTATGCAGACTTTTAAAGATGCGGTACATTGTCCTAAATTTTTAAAACATTAACTATGGAGTCCTTAAATGTATGTGTGTCTATGAATATGTTATATACATATATGATATTTTGATATCATGTATGATTTTGATATATGTATGACCACACATATATATGATATTTTACCTGTGGATGGTATGGCCAAAATTAAGAGCTCTGTTTAATTGGCTTAAAGTAAATGCTTACATAAATTATTTCTAAATGTAACAGAAACTAACCCAAATGTCTTTTAAGTTAACATGATAAGAAATAATCTTTAATAAATAAAAGTTTACTTAAGTTTGCTGGGTCTATTAAAATAGGCATGTCCTCAGAGTTATCACCATTGGATATGATGCACACATACAGCCTGGGTTTACTGGTCAAATGAACTCATGTTATCTCTTACAAAATTTGTCAGCAAAAGCAATAACCTAGAATAACAACTGATTTTGTTTGATGTCTCATGAGGTTTTTGTAGACAATCTAAATATAATTGAGGAGGACAGGGAAACTAAATAGATGTAAAAAAAGATAAAAGTTTTTGGAGAAACTTTTAACAAGAATCACGTTATAATGTATGTTCTTAAAACAACTTACGATGACAGTTAACTGCTTTAATGCCATGTAAAGTTTGAAAGCAATCTAATCTAAACATAATTGTTGGAAACAAATAATTTACACAA